CAACGTCAACATGAATATTGAAATCACTGACAATGATAACTTTATCTGATTTAAGAACTGAACTGGATAAAAACTCTGAGAATTCAGATAAACATTCAGAATACAGGCCAGGAGCACGGTACACTATAACAAAAAGAAGTGGCTGGCAATCAGTGGCACGGTGGTGTAGTGGTTAGCACTGTTGCCTCATAGGAAGAGGGTTCCTGGTTCGATCCTGGGTGGGGGAGCCCTTTGCATGTTCTCCCCATGTCAGCATGGGTTTTCACCGGGTACTCCGGCTTGCAGATTGGGGATGGGTTAATTGGTGTCTCTAAATTGACCATAGGTGTGAATGTGAGTGTGAATGGTTGTCTGTCTCTAGATGTCAGCCCTGCGATAGTCTGGCGACCTGTTCAGGGTGTACCCTGCCTCTTGCCCAATGTCAGCTGGGATAGGCTCCAGCCCCCCCATGACCCTCAAGAAGATAAGCGGTTCAAAAATGGATGGATAATGTAGTTTAGGTTTAGGGCTGATTAACAGACTAGAGTTAAAAATGGCTGCAACTCCCCCTCCTCGGCTGCTGCCTCGAGGAATGTGGGTATTATTATGACTGGAAGGAGTGGATTCATTTAGACTGACATAAGCTATGTTTCCATCCAAAAGTGATTCAAATCATTGGGAAATGTGCATTAAAAGAAATACGAATCCTGTGTGTTTCCATTACATGTATGGACTTTGGTGAAAACTACGAACTCGCGCGAGTTTTCTGCAGAACCGGAAACAAAACAAGTCTCATATTCTTCTTCTTCTTCTACGTTTTCTGGCGGTTGGCAACCAGCTTGTAAATGCATTACCGCCTTCCCGACCCGGAGTGTGGATATCACCATGGAGAGAGGTGCGCTACGTCAGGCTTAATTCGTACAAACATAACATAACTGTTTCCATCCCCCATTTTGCGAATCAACATTTTTTCGAATCAACCAAAACCCGGCTAAAGCGAGCGCATTTTAGTTTGTGCAAATCAGGGGATTTTAATTTGAATTTTGAAGTTTCCATCATAATTTTCTGATGCGCTACTTCTAGATGCGCATCTAAACAGGCTGATGGAAACATGGCTATATTCATCATGACACAGCCAGGTTTCAGTGAGTAAATCAATATGATTATCTGATATGAATTTGTTTACTAACACTGCTTTAGATGATAGGGACCACATTGAATTCTCCTGTTTTGTCTTTCTGTCATAGAAGAGGTTTTAATTAGGGACTTTGGCTGAAGGCAGAGGACCCTATTGTTTCTGGTACGTTTATTCTTTATTCTTTAGCCTTTCTCCCGCCGTCTCTTTGAACCCCAATTAGACCCCCTAAACATGCTCAAAAACTCACCAAAATTGGCATGCATGTCAGGACTGGCAAAAAATTTGATAAAATGAAAAAAATTAACCCCAAAAATGCTTAAATGGGCTCTCTAGCGCAACCTAGAAACACTAAAATGGCTGCTAGGAATGTTGTAGAAAGATCAAACCAAAACTGGCTTGTTCGTCTCATCGAGACCTACAAATCACGCACTGACACCCCTGACCTAAATCCAACAGGAAGTGAGATATATGCCCTTTCAAAGTAAGATTTCACCTTAAAAATGTTCTTTTTTCAAAAAATATCTTCTCCTACATCGTTTATTGTATCGGCTTCAAAAACTTGCACACATCCCAGGGCAACTCCTGCTGAACAGATGTTCTATATAACTTTGTCATTACTCCAATGGTTTGGATTTTATGCCCTTTTACAGGTGAGGTTCCACAAAACCTTCTGAGGATTTTTCTAAAGAAAAGCTGACGGCCAACACATTTTAAATGGCCACTGCGGCCCGTAGGAATGTCGTAGAAAGATCAAACCAAAACTGGCGTGTTCATCTCATAGAGACCTACAAATCACACACTGATACCCCTGACCTAAATCCAACAAGAAGTGAGCTATTTGCCCTTTCAAAGTAAGATGCCGTTTTCAAAAATGCTCTTTTTCAAAAAATGTCTCCCCCACACCGTTTATTGTATCGGCTTCAAACTTGCACACCTGCCAGGCCAACTCCTGCTGAACAACACTTCTGAATAACTTTGTCATTACTCGAACGGTTTAGATTTTATGGCCTCTTAAAGGTGACATGTCACAAAACCTCCTGACGATTTTCAAAAGAAAAGGTGAGGGCCAACACATCTTAAACTTGTGACCAAGATTGCATTTTTGACTCCACAAACATAAACCTACATGGCTACGTTTGGGACGAGTATATCTCTCTGCTGGTATGCTCAGATTGATGATTGGACCCATGGTTTGGGAATAAAAGGGAGGAGTTCGAGACATTTTAAAGCCATCTCAATCTGCCTGCTTTCACAGCTTGTCTCTCCCACTGCTGCATGCAAGTCATTAATCGCCATGACAACGCTTCACTCTGACACACACAGCCCTCTGTGTGTGCGCGTGACTCACAAAAAAGAACAGGTTAAAGCAGTAGAATCTTAATTTGAAACAGCATCTTTATATATCAGTGTTTTCCATCTCCCACATACTACTACAGCCTTTATTACTGATAATACTGTTGCTACTTTTGTGATTATGACTGTTAGATATATATTGACCGTATTGCTGACCATGTCCATCCCTTTATGACCACAGAAAAACCATCACACATCAGACTGATGTGCTGACATATTGCGGTAAGCGGTAAGCTCTCCTCCTTTTTACGACTTTCTTGCTAATCTCTTAGCTGTTGTTTGCACAATAATAGCCTTCTTAGTTACATTAGCTTAATAGTTAGCGATGGCTTCTCTTGCTCTTTCTTGCTCGGTGTGCCAGATGTTTAGTTATGCCTCTGCCTCCTTCAGCGATAGTGGTAATTGTAACAAGTGTAGCTTATTTGCGGCGTCGGAGGCGAGGCTCAGTGAATTAGAAGCGCGGCTCCACACCATGGAAAATCGTGGGGTGGGGAGCCACATAGCATAGCCTCTGCTAGCGGTCCCCCGGTAACCCCCATACAGCTGGGAGGCTGGGTAACTGTCCGGTAGAAGCGTAGCTCCAAGCCGAAGCCCATGGGTCACCACCAGCCTGTTCACGTTTCCAACTGCTTTTCCCCACTCAGCGACACACCCGCTGAGGAGAAAACTCAGTCATTGGCAGCTCTATTCTGAGGAACGTGAAGTTAGCAACACCAGCGGCCATAGTCAAATGTATCCCTGGGGCCAGAGTGGGTGACACTGAATCAAATTTAAAACTGCTGGCTAAAGCTAAACGTAGATTTAGTAAGATTGTTAATCACGTCGGCGGCAATGACACCCGGTTACGCCAATCGGAGGTCACTAAAATTAATGTTGCCTAGGTGTGTGAATATGCAAAAACCATGTCGGACTCCATAGTTTTCTCTGGATCCCTCCTAAATCTGACCACTGATGACATGTTTAGCCACATGTCAACATTTAATTGCTGGCTGTCCAGGTGGTGTCCAGCAAATAATGTGGGTTTCGTAAATCATTGGCAAACTTTCTGGGCAAAACCTGGTCTGATTAGGAGAGATGGCATTCATCCCACTTTGGATGGAGCTGCTCTCATATCTGGGAACCTGGCAAAGTTTATTAGTAATTCAAAACTCTGACAACCCAGAGTTGAGACCAGGACTCAGAGTCGAAGTCCTTCACACTTCTCTTAGCTTCTAGTGCAGTTACTCATCCATAGTTTATTACAAACGGTGTCTGTCCCCCGACCACCTAAATTATCTAAATCTAAAATTAAACAAAGAGGAGTTGTGCATAACAACCTCATAAAAATTAAAACCTCTTCTGTGACCGAAAGACAAAACAGGTGAATTAAACGCGGACTGTTAAATATCAGGTCTCTATCATCAAAAGCAGTGTTAGTAAACAAATTAATATCAGATAATCACACTGATTTACTCAGTCTCACTGAACCTGGCTGTGTCAAGATAAATATGTTAGTCTAAATGAATCCACTCCTCCCAGTCATAATAATACCCACATTCCTCGAGGCAGCGGCCGAGGAGGGGGAGTTGCAGCCATTTTTAACTCTAGTCTGTTAACCCTATGGGCCCTAGGCCTTTTTGGGGTATTTTTACTGCCTTTACTTTTAAGCTCATATCACAGTTATTATAAAGGCTACATGCACATGCTATATCTTGTTTTTTTCAGGACAATCTGGGCTTATCCATATTTGCCATCATTACATGTCCTTCTATGTGCCTGTATTTTATATTATATCAATGAAAAAAACAAATCTGTGTTACTAAATTCTTAAATTTTACATGTATCTCACCATAGCAAGTTGGAAGTTGACATATTCTGCCATATATGAAGAGGGGAGACTCTGGAATCTGGTAATATAAGAACCATGATGCTGGGTAGGGATGTGTATCGTTAGGATTTTATCGATACCGATACAAATACCGATACTCCTTATCGGTACTGATATTTATCGATTCTCTTATCGATACCACAACATGAAATTTAGTGTAAAAAATAAAGACATTACAAGATGGTAAATGATTCAGTCGATTTTTATTATTACAAGGGGGGTAACACCAGCAACATCATTAAACAACTTAAAGCACCTGCCTTTAAAGCCCTTAGCAAGTCAACATGTGCAGTGCAAGGTATAAAAAACGAGCAGGCAGCACACCATCCATACAGACTTCAACTTCAACAAAACAGAAGCTTAACTTACAATTACAAATGCTTCTCAGAAGAAGGTAATAGATGAAATAAAAAAACTAGGGAGATGACCAAAGCCCTTACCTACATGTTCAACCCAACAGACACATACATGTAAACAGAACAGTGTAGAGTAGGCACTTCTCCTGACGCATTTAGCCCTAACAGTTTTTGTTAAGGAAAAGCAACATATTTACTTTCTCTGGCAGCAGCTGAGATCGCTCTGGACAGAGTGTGTCTCCTGTGGTTGAGAACACTCGTTCAGACGGCGTTGAAGAGGCCTGGACGCAGAGGTAGGTGAAGACAGTTGTGAGAGTAAGGGAAGTGTGTCTTTCTTACCCCACCACCAGTGGACAGGGTCTTGTTCAGTGGGGATAGGGGGAAGATCTCTATAAACTGCCACCTCTTTTTTCAGTCTCTCTCGGACTGTTGTTGGTGCACTCTGCTGCTGTCGACTGAGCTGTCTTTGCAGCTGTCTGTCTTCCTCTGCGAAGAGTTCTCCCAGTGCAGATACTGGTTTTGGATGCTGAAATATAGAATACCATATTTTTTTAGTTAAGTTTTTTATTGCTTTTTGCTGCAACACAGCATAGGTTCACAAACATGTCAAACTTACATTCTCCTCCTCTTCATCATCCTCTTCTCCATCTCCCTGGAGTCAGCTTCAGTCATCGACATCGTCACATCCTCATCCTCTGACAGATGGGGGAGGGAGATTAGATTGCCTTAATAAATGTGTCATGTTACGTACATTGCGCATATTCTCAAAGTTAAGTTAACCATTAAGATAACCATTAAGTTCTCCTTAATGGTGGCCACAAACGGAGAGTCATCCTCTGCAATTTTGAAGTGGCTCTCAAGCTTTGTGAGTATAGGGAGAATCTGGCTGCAGGTGGCTTGTTTGTCACTTGATACAGCCAGGGTGGACGTGTACATTATTCGCATCACGCTGACAAACTCCTGGACTTTTTTGTAGTCATCCTCTGTGAACTTTTCAAGTCTGAGATTAATTTATTAAAATGTATTTATTGTACACTCATGCAGTTGCATTTGTTTTACCATAACATGAATGTTCATCATTCTGGCATAGTCACTTTTCAAATCATTCAATCAATAATTATGGTTAATACTAGAGTTATCTATTAATTTGAAAATACCAGTTCAGTGTCATTATGAATTCCAACCTACTAGATTACCTGTCTCACTTCATCAGCTTTTTGGCTCGTGGGTCCAAGAGGGCAGCTTGTATGGCTGGGTATATCTCAATAGATCTTTCCACCATGAGATACAGCGAGTTCCAGCGGGTCCTCACATCCAGGACAGCATTATAGACAGGCATGCCTGAAACATATGGAAACACACATGGTAATCAGTTTAGATACGTAGTCCTGCTGTGGCTCCTGTCTGAGTGATAATACTGAAACAATGAGAGGCTTAGTTTCTTACCCAGAAGTCTCTGCTTCTCCTCAACCACGTTCTTCACAATGGAAGATCTCTTGATCCACACAACACAGTCCCGGATTCTCGCAGACCACTTGGCGACAGTTTGGACGGTGTAGACCTTTGTACTGAGAGTGTGTGCACAGCAGCCAAGTTTTCTGATTTGGAGCTCTCGTGCAGCAACGTCCATGTTGGCTGCATTATCTACTGTCATGGCTAAGACTTTTGCTCTAACACCAAACTCTGCAAGCACGTCTCCTATCTCTTCAGCTACAACTGGACCACTCTGTGACTCATACACTGCCTGGGTTGATAGTACTTTGTGCATTAGCTGGCCCTCATTCACATAGTGGAGTGTGACAGTGACATAATGATCCTGTGTGAAACTTGTCCACCCATCACTGGTTATGGCCACTTTTGTCACATTAACAAGCTCAGCTATTAAATTTTTCTTCTCAACTCCATACCAAGCTGGTAGGAGGGTGCCTGATAACACCTGCCTGGAAGGGGAGGTGTAACCTGGGTTGAGGGCTCTGGTCATCTCCCTGACAATCATCACAGAAAAAGCAATACAAAATTAGTTGTATGACAGCTAACAGCGCTCTGCCTTCAAACTTGGACCAACGTTACAGCTAGCAGCTGGCAATATAGGCTAAGCTAACTTATGCTACTGCCTAGTACCTACCTAAACCACTTGGATTGGACTGTAGCGAAGGACTGTAGATCCTTCACAATAAACTTGGTAACGGCCCTGTGGCATTCCTCGTTTTTTTCTGCAGACATCTTCATTTGATGTTGCTTGCCGATTGTGAATGGGGTTGTCTGCATCAGCAAACCAGGTGATGGCTGCTGCTTCGTTGATACCACCTACGGGATTAACGTAACATATATATCAGCGGTGCTAAAATTGATAATATAACCTCCTGAGTTAATGACTACATACTTAACGATTCATACTCTTACCGTGACTCGATGATGATAACGAAGCAGTGTCAGAGTCAGCCTGCACTGAGGAAGCCATGGCGTTGCAAGAGTTAGCGTTAGCCGAGCTGCTAACGCGACAGTTAGGTAGACGCTTTTAAAAAATACAGATAACAGTACCATTTGTCCAGAATCTTAGCGGTTCTCTGGCACCGAAAAATTAGGAACCAGTACCAAAAAATACCGGCTCTTGGTATTTTACATAATTGCCAGTATTTTTTCATTATTGCAAGAAATTCCATTGACTCATTCACAAGTCAAAAATGTGTTTTATCTGAAAGAAACATGCAATATTTACATCTAAGATAATAGTCAACCAAGTGCAATGATGTCCTCCAAGATAATACTTTCCACTTTGTTTACAGTAAAAAAAAAAAAAAAATTCTGGACGTTTTCTTGTTGACATGATATTGACTTACTGCTCTGTGCTCCGTGCTGATCTTTGACCTGACCATCAGTTATATACTGGGGGGACATTTTGGGCGTGTCCCCCTTAATGTATATGGTGACTACTGCCCTGTCACACATGCATAATTAGGCCTCAGTTGTCTGGGTGTGGAAAGGTGAAGTGCGCTGGTCTTGTCATACCAAGTTTGATGGAGTGTCAACTGGACAATATGGAGATATTTGCATCTTGAAAGCCGGACTACAAATGTGGATAGACAGGAAGAAACACACGCAAGCCTAAGACGTGGTAACATACGATATTCCTCACTATATGAAATGACTGATAACAAGATCTGTGTAATGGATTATAAAGAAATCCGTCAGGTTTTTATTTTGCAGACAATTGATCTGGGCCCGTATTCACAAAGAATCCTAAGACTAAAAGTAGCTCTTAGTGACGTCATTTTAAGAAAAATCGTAGAATTCCTCGAATTCTAAGATTTTTCTTAGAATTTTCCCTTGGTAAGATAAAAGTTATTCACAAAGCATCTTAGGCCTTAAGAGAGCTCCTAAGGTGAAAAACTGTTAAGAGGAGGGAGGAGGACTTTTAAGAAGCCTAAGAGTGTCTTAAACAGAGAAGATGGCGGAAAGACAGAGAGGAAGGAGAGATATTCTCCGTATATTGAATGACAGTGATTTAATAAGACACTACCGGCTTTATAGTGCAGAGATAATGTTTGTGGTTGACCTCAGGGATGAGCTTACTTTTCCCACCCAGCGCAATAACACCCGCTTTGGATTGCAGCACATACCAGCGCTTCTCACACTCATCGCTTGTGCGTAAAAGGAGAGGGAATGACGCATTGATTTGTCGGGCAATACGCTCCCAAGTCTGCCTCTTCCCTTGTGCCGTGATCACAGGACCGAATTTCCCTCTTAAAACTCCTTTGTTCTCCTCCACAAGCTGCGCCAACAGCAGGCACTGCTCTTCTGTCCAGTTTGGCTTTTTTGTTCTTTTTTTCTCCATTTCGTTCGTTGTTTTGGTCATTCTGCCAAATCAAATCGCTTTTTACAAGGAGGCCAGCAGTCACAGTAATTGCTGACAGCTGAGTCTGCGTCCACCATTAATATCAAATAGATTAAGTAGTAAAATTACCAGCATGGCGAGTAAACATAACAATAAGCAAATCAATATAATAATCAGCATGTGAATGAGGTACGTTCAAACATTTTGAAGCTGTGTAACAATTAATTTAATTTTGCTGAGTTTCATCATCATGACATAAAATTATTTTCATGATTACACATTTCTTAATACAGTCTAAGTTCTGTGATCGGTTGATTTCACTGTTCATTCATTACTAGGAGTGCATTTTTTTTTCTTTTTGTAACAACCAATCACAGCTTTTAGAAGACTGTGTCATACCTAGCAACGGGGTCAACCACACCTCCTCACTAAGATAAAAGTTTCTGTCCCCTCCTTGCTCAGAGTTGCTCTCAGAAACTTCCTGAATCACTCTTAAGCTAAGATTCCTTGCTGGGAATTTTTAGGCTAAGTTAGGAGCTCTCTGAGAGGACTCTGAGAATCTTTGTGAATACGGGCCCTGATCTATAGCGTGATGGGATGACAGCACAGTGTGGTATCACTGGAAACCTCTGGTCCTGCACTTTCATGTGATATGCATGGAATTTCTGTGCGATGCTGCATTCGCGAGTAAGCCATCCAAGAGTAATGTGTGTGTAAAGCTGTATGAAAGCTTTGTTATACATCATTTCAGTGTAAATTAAACATTTTTTTTCACTGTGAAAACATTGGGTTACCGACAAGTGCTTGGTTTTGTCCGAAAGCTATGGTTCCACTGTTTCACGTGATATGTGTGGCTTCTCGCTATGACGCACGGTCGCGGAGAAAATCCATAGTGAAGAACAGGTGTGAATTTGGACGTACTATACGTTGTTCGGGTCCATAGGGTTAATCAGCCCTAAACCTAAACTAGATTATAATTCATTTGAAAGCCTTGTTCTTAGTCTTTTACATCCGACCTGGAAAACCTAACAGCCAATTTTATTTGTTATAGTGTACAGTGCTCCTGGCCAGTATTCTGAATTTGTATATGAATTCTCAGAGTTTTTATCCAGTTTAGTTCTTAAATCAGATAAAGTTATTATTGTAGGCGATTTTAACATTCACATTAACAACACATGTTTCAGATACTTCAGATGCTGCTGTCGCAAAATTTAAAGAAATGATTCCTCCGTCGTTGAATTTAATACCATGTCCTTCAGTAACAGAGGTCTCCTGTACCAACTTTAAACTCTCCCGAAATGATCATCTTGTCGATAGCGCCGTAGGCTCGCTGCGAACAACACTGGACTCCGAAACACCTCTTAAAAAGAAGTTAACAAAGCAAAGAAAGTTCGCTCCTTGGCATGTTGTGCGGGGATCTTTAGCAGTGCTGAAGGGGGACTGCGTTGACACTAAGCCACCGAGCAGTTTGTTGGATTATGTGAACGGGTTCCGTCATCGATTGTTTGTTGCTGGTTGTATGGCACGGGAAAAATTGTCTGTGTCCCAGGACAAAATGAAAGTTGTATGGCCGTCATTCTGTGTGCCATGACTTCAGTCCAGGCGACCAGGTTCTGGCACTTTTGCCCATTGTTGGTTCGCCTTTCCAGGCTAAATATGCAGGTCCATACACTGTTGTCAAAAAAGTCTCTGATTTGAACTGTATCATAGCAACACCTGGTAGGCGGAAAGATGTAAACCTTCTAAAGCCATACTACACCCGTATTGAGTCGAGCTTGAGTCAGGAGCTGAATGACGGGGTGCGCCTGGCTCTGGCTGTGGCTTCTGTGGTGGATGAGTGTGACGGGGAGCCAGAGCCAGATGAAAGTTTGCTGTGCGGGCGGTTGGTAATTTGGACCAGTTGTTGTGTCATCTGTCACTGTCGCAGTGCAGTGAACTGACACGTTTGGTGCGTAATTATCCCTGTTTGTTTAGTTGTTCTTTACTGTGTTCTTCTCCTGTTCTAGCAGCTCCATGTTTTGACCAGGTATTTATGTTCCAAGTGGACGCCAGCCAGGTGGGAGCAGGTGCGGTCCTGTTGCAGGGGGATGATCAGGGTGTGGTGAGACCCATCCGCTTCTTTTCTAAGAAGTTTAATCGTTATCAGTCTAACTACTCTGTAATAGAGAAGGAAGCATTGGCACTCGTGTGGGCCTTACACCATTTTGAGATTTATGTTGGAGGAGCTCAAGTGCCCCTGGTGGTTTTCGCTGACTACAACCCTCTGACTTTTCTTCGGTCCCGCAGATATCCCAACCAGAGGCTTTTAAGATGGTCTCTGTTCTTGCAGGCCTATGAGCTTGACATTAGACTTATAAAAGGAACAGACAATGTTATTGCAGACGCGTTATCACGTGCCCCCTTTAGGCTTTTGCCTTGTGTTTCCTAAGCCAAATGACTGTTATTCATTCTGCCTATTAACCCATTCTCTTAATTTGCTTCTCAGGTACCAGGGTTGCTGAGATGGGTGGCATAGTGATGGGCCCCGTAGGCAGGATTATGGTGATGAATTTATGTTTTTTCCATTATTGTTAGTTGTTAAGTAGTTGTAGTTCATTCTTTGGTTGTGGGTGGGTGCCATTGGTTCCCCTGGGAACATTGACTTTATGGGGGGGGTGACAGCCCTGGCCTGTATGTTCTTGATGTTGCCTCTCAGTCCCTCTCTCTCTGTTTCCTCTCTGAGGTGTGGCCTGATTACCTGATCTGGAGCACCTGGGCTAGGTGCTCCTGCAGAAGATAAAAGGCAGAAGATCCAGTGCTTCTCCCTCTCTCTCCATCCTGGCAGCACCCTTGTTGGTTTTGATCCTTTTGCACACAACACTATGCAGCACATTCTCACATACCCACATGTGCACTACTGATCCTACTGACTTAACACCTCTTATTCTTTATCTCATTAGTTAACATTTGCTTACTTTAATAAATTACTTAATTTACTCGTATTCTGAATCCTTTCCCTTCTTTGCCATAACCTCTCGAGCCAGGGTTATGCCAAATATGACAAATTAAAACAAATATTGTGGAAATTTGACAGGAATTGGCGATTAACCAAACTGGAAGAATCTCGTTTAGTCTGAGCAGACAGTCTCA